CTCCAGGAGGGCGCTTCACCTTGAAGAGCCAGCGGCCGTCGACTACGTTCACCCCAGGTGGGGGAACTGCATCGACGAAGGTACCTGTGGATCTCCAAGATGCCATCTCCTGCTCCATGGCAGCTATCCACTGAGAGGCCCAAGATCCCGAAATAGCCTCAGCGTAAGTGCGAGGGGTCGGGATGTCGAAAGCGTCTGGGTCACCCTCAGGGACTAACAGCATGGAACATAGATAGGGAGCAGCCTCGGACAGGAAAGCAAGCTCGAACTGGCGGTCCTCCAGGACGTCACTCCCGAGGGCAGGAGCACCCCCGACAGACGGAGGACAGGCAGGGTCAGAGACCAGAGCGGTGGCGTAGTCAAGGCGGCGGGTAGAGGCGAAGTCAGCGACTGAAGCGACAAGAGCGTCAAGACACGAGACCGGAACAGACGGGTCGATAACGAGAGAGGCGAGGACCCGAGGAACAAGAGGACGAGCGGCACAAAGGTAGTCAGACAGAGGAGGAGGCGCAACGGTGAGAGAGGACGGAGGAGGCGACGGTAGAAGGGGAAGACGAGACGCGTGGGAATGAAGCAACATAGGGTGAGAGCGCGTAACAGGGGAGACAGGACGAGCGCGGGTGGGACAGCGGGACCAGACATGAGACGGAGGCGTCGGGTCAGGAGACATAGGAGGGGACACAAGGGGGGAGCGAGGGGGAAGACGAGTCGGAGACAAGTCCGGCGGTGGAAACGCAGGGCCGTAGACAGGAAGAGGAGGAAGCGGCAATAGAGGAACAGACGTAGGGTCAGGCGACGGAAGGCTGAGCAGGCGAAGGGCTGACACCGGCGGGGACTGCTGCTGCGGCGGCACGGCACCAACACTGGGACCGCAAGCTGCTCCTCGGCTACCTCCGGGACACTCCACTCCGGCACCCCCAGAAGGAACACCCCCAGAGCCCGAAACCCCTCGAGCACCGGTACCACCCCCAGTGCCACCGGGGCAGGCCACGACAGGAACGCCAGAACTAGCACCCACCCCAAAGCGGGCACTCCCAGAGTCGACGAATTGCTGCTGCGACGGCGGCGGTGGCGGCGGCGGTAACGACGGGTGTGGCGGAGATGACGGCTGCGACAGCAGAGGCAACGGCGGCTGCAGAGGCTGTGGAGGAGGAGACACCGGGGGAGGGGCAGACGGCGAGGACTGCGCCGCAGGACCACCAGAGTCAGAGGACTCCTCGACCGGGACAACCGACGGGAGAGGGGTGACGTGGGACACACCAGAGGGGACAGGACGGGGAGGGGGGGAGGGGGGCAGGGACCACCGGGGAAGGAGTGAGCAGGAACAGGGGGGGAGTAACAGGGGGACCGCGGTTGGGGAAGCGACGGTAGAAGGAGACGGACTCGTCAAAGGTGACGTCGCGAGAGTGAAATAACCGGTGAGACGGCAGGTGCTAAAAGTGCCAGTCGGACGCGTGAAGGGGGAAACCAATGTAGACACAGGGAAGGGTGCGGGCAGTGAGCTTGTCCGTGCCAGAGGCACGAACGTGAGCAAGGCAGCCCCAGACGTGGAACGCAGACGTGTCACCAGGAGACCCGGTCCAAAGAAGGGTCAGCGAAACCTGCGGCCGCTAGGGGTGCGGCCACAGGTTAAGCTGGTGAGCAGCTTAGCGCACTGTGAATGGCCACAGAAAATGGGGTGCACCGGCATGGATCATGGAGGTGCGAGCCACCTCCATGACTAAACCGATGCGTCGCTCAGCGACCCCATTCTGCTGTGGGGGGTCTGGGCAGGGAAGCGTACTGTCTAGGTGTACCGAAAGCGGGTGGACATCCTGCCGCTGGCCAGTGAGGTGGCGGCGGAGGTTGGCTAGCCAGGCCTCGAACTCTAGAGGCTGGCCTTCAGCGTCTAAGCGAAGCTCCCCCGCCATCAGGAACACTGCAGGGCGGCGCCAGGCGAGTTAGTGGAGTGCAGGACTGTACCAGGGAGGGTGCAGGGCAGTACCCGAAGAGCGGGCCGCACACAGATCAGTGGCAGACCAGCGGGGAGGTGAGCACGGGGTCGGAGGTCGACGTGTAGGGCTCGCACAGGGGTTGGCAGGACGGGCGCGGGGGCCAGTAGGGCGGGCGCGGGGCCGGCTAGGACGGGCCTAGGGCGGGCGCTGGGGCCGGTAGTACGGACGCAAGGCCGGGTAGGACGGGCGCGGGGGCCGATAGGACGGGCGCAGGGGCCAGGTAGGACGGGTGCGGAGCCAGCTAGGACAGGCGCGGGGCCAGCTAGGACGGGCGCGGGGCCGGCTAGGACGGGCGCGGGGGCCGTTAGGACGGGCGCGGGGGCTGATGAGACGGGCGCGGGGGCCAGCTAGGACGGGCGCGGGGGCCGTTAGGACGGGCGCGTGGCCAGCTAGGACGGGCGCGGGGCCAGCTAGGACAGGCGCGGGGGCCATGAGGACGGGCGCGGGGGCCGATAGGACGGGCGCGGGGGCCAGCTAGGACGGGCGCGGGGGCCGTTAGGACGGGCGCGGGGGCCGGTTGGACGGGCGCAGGGGCCAGCGAGGATGGGCACGGGGCCAGCTAGGACGGGCGCGGGGCCAGCTAGGACGGGCGCGGGGCCGGCTAGGACGGGCGCGGGGGCCGTGAGGACGGTTGCGAGCGCCAATAGGACGGGCGCGTGGGCCAGCTAGGACGGGAGCAGAGCTGTTAGGACGGGCGCGGGGGCTGGTAGGACGGGCTCGGGGGCTAGCTAGGACGGGCGCGACGGGCGCAGCTAGGACGGGCGTGCGGGCGCGGCTAGGACGGGCGGCTAGGGCGCGGATAGGGCGGTCACGGGGGCGACTAGGATGGGCGCGGGGGCGGCTAGGTTCTAGAGCGGAAGCGTGGGCAGGCGGCGGGACCTACCTACTGCTGATACCATCTTAGAACCGAATAATGAATGACTAGAGAACCTGGTAGAAGGATATACATCTAAGGGTTGTACTCTCTAAGAGGTGACCCTATACAGTCTATACAAACATTAGAGATACAAATGTTTGACAGACGTAACTCGGGAAGCTTGATGCATGTGAATGCACATGAACCCCAGTCAAGATTTGTTTACAATTCGGTGACGTTAGGTATGCGTTTTGATATCGGTGGACACGTGTGGCACTTTGGATTTCGCCAAGCCGGCCTTGGCAAGAACAAGGCGACCTCGGGAACATCTCGCGGTGGTGCAACGCCAAATCGCACGTGTTGTTTGAACTAGGAACTAGGACGCCATGAAAGTGGCGTGAGGTTTTAGGAGCTAGGAGAACTAGGAGAGAGAGTTTGACGAGAGAATAAGGAGATTAGAAAAGAAAGAGGGATACAAGGAGGGGTGTTGTACCCTCTACAGGAATGTTCAGTAACGACTACCAAGCCTACAATTATATACTAATATATATAATTTAACACACCCCCTAGGCTTGGTAGCAGAAGGACCCACACACCCCCACACCCCCTAACCTAGCACTCCCATTCCCAGCAGCCACGACTACTCCAGCATGGCCAACCCCAAGGCCCTGGAGATGGCAACGGCGGCAGTCCCGGCAGCGGCGACAGCGATGGCAACGGCGGCGTGCGACAGCAACAGGCCTGCGGAGACGACAGCGGCGACGGCGACGGCTTCGGCTTACGACTGCGGTAGCGGCAGCGGCTCCCGCCCTTTCGGCGGCGCGTCCAAACTCCGCGACAGGGGGACGACCGGCGAGAGTCAGGCGGCGGCTGTGGCGAAGAGGAGGAGATAGAGGGAAGGGGGAAGGGGCGGGGCTTCGGATCTTCAGTGCGGCGCCATTGCTGGCGCGGCGCTTACTGGCGTGCGGACGGGCTGCAAGTCCAGCAGCAATGCAGGTGGTGCGCGACGGCAACAGGCCGACGACACTGCCACGGCACCACTACGACGCCACCACAGCGTGGCGTCGGAGCCGCGGCTGCTCGTCGACGCTGAGACGACAGCACACAGAGGCCGCTGCGGCATCTCGGAAAATGTGCCACGCCGGCAGGCAAATAAAAGGCCGCGACGGCGGACAAGTTAGGACGGGTACGCGGCGGAAGCGTGGAGAGCAGGCCCGGGAAGGACGTCCTACTCTGAAACCATGTTTGAACTAGGAACTAGGACGCCATGAAAGTGGCGTGAGGTTTTAGGAGCTAGGAGAACTAGGAGAGAGAGTTTGACGAGAGAAAAAGGAGATTAGAAAAGAAGAGAGAGGGATACAAGGAGGGGTGTTGTACCTTTTAAATTGTATATGCTAGTATATAATTGTAGGCTTGGTAGTGGTTACTGAACATTACTGTAGAGGGTACAACACCCCTCCTTGTATCCCTCTCTCTTCTTTCCTACCTCTCTTCTTTCTCTCGACATTCTCGCCTACCTCCTAGATCTAGATTTCACTCCATATTCATGGCTCCTCCTATTCCTACCTGGTCTAACTTCACGACAGTACCCTCTACAGTAATGTTTAGTAACGTTTACTAAGCCTACAATTATAAACTAACATATATAATTTAACACCTGTCACTTAACCCAGCACGAAACCTCTGTTTCGCGAGCTGCGACCTTTGGTAACTGCGATTTGGGGCGTCGGACGTAAAATGTTGTTTCGGACGCACCCAGTTGGCGCCAGCTTCTAATTTATTCGCAATATGAGATGCGGTTTGGTGGGGAAACGATTTTGGGATCGTTTTCAGTTGTTGTCCCCGAGTTCGTAAAAACATGTCCAAAACCCCCAATTGAACTATTTGGACCTGCCCTAATGTACTTCCACCCACTTAATCCGTCATGGGGTTGCGAAAATATTTCTCTATTTTCGATACAATGAACGCTTAATTGTTAAATTATATTTGTTATATAATTGTAGGCTTGGTAGGTTACCGAACTCTACTGTAGAGGTTACAACTCCCTCCTTGTATGCCTCTCTCTTCCTAGTTTCCCCCTTTTTCCTCTCGTCAACTTTCTCTCCTAGCTCCTAGCTCCTAAACCTCTCTCCATTTCATGGCCCCCTTCCTTCCTAGCTAAGTTAGTCTTCTAATATGGTATTTGAGCAGTTCGTTCCTTACGCTTCTTACGCTTCCGCCGTGTGCTTGTTTCTCTCTCTCTCTCTCTCTCTCTCTCTCTCTCTCTCTCTCTCTCTCTCTCTCTCTCTCTCTCTCTCTCTCTCTCTCTCTCTCTCTCTCCATCTCTCTCTCTCTCTCTCTCTCTCTCACTCTCTCTCTCTCTCTCCCTCTCTCTCTCTCTCTCTCTCTCTCTCTCTCTCTCTCTCTCTCTCTCTCTCTCTCTCTCTCTCTCTCTCTCTCTCTCTCTCTCTCGCTGCCATGGCGGTCGCGTCAAGCTGCTGTGGCCGCGTCGTCGTGCCGTCGTTGTGCTGCCGCGGTCGTCGCGCTGTCGCGGCGTTGACGTCAAGCCGTGGCAGCGTCGTCGTCGACGTCAAATCATAGCGGCGTGACGGCGCCATCACGCTGCTGCGGCGTCTACGTGACAGCGCGCGGACGGCACGGACGGCAGCGGCTAGCACCCCGTCTTAGCGCTGGCCAGCACGCCCGCATGCAGCCAACGCACCACACGGGGCGGCACGCTCCTGGGCTCCACTGCTGAAGCCCCGCCCCCCTTCCCCTGCGTCCCCTCTTCCTTGCCGCAGCCGACGGCTGACTCGCGCCGGCCATCCCAGTGTCGCAGAGCCCGCCACGCCGCCGAGTGCAGCGAGCTCCGCCGCCGAGTGCAGCGAGCTCCGCCGCCGAGTGCAGCGAGCTCCACCGCCGCCGGCAGCTGTCGTCGAAGCCGCCGCCGCCGCTGCCACCGCTGTCGACGCTGCCGCCATCGCCGCCGTTGCAGCCGCTGCCCTCGTTGTCGACGTCGCCCCACCTCACGCGCCGTGGGGTTGACCGTGCTGAAGTCGCTGTTGCTGCTGTTGAGTATGGGGGTGCTCGCGGGTGTGTGGCTTAGTGTGCTGTGTGTGTGGTGGGCTTGTCGCTACCAAGCCTAGGGGGTGTGTTAAATTATATTTGTTATATAATTGTAGGCTTGGTAGGTTACCGAACTCTACTGTAGAGGGTACAACTCCCTCCTTGTATGCCTCTCTCTTCCTAGTCTCCCCCTTTTTCCTTTTGTCAACTTTCTCTCCTAGCTCCTAGCTCCTAAACCTCTCGCCATTTCATGGCCCCCTTCCTTCCTAGCTAAGTTAGTCTTCTAACATTAATTTCATGAAATTTTATTATACGTTCTACACTTGGAAAACAGACTAGTGTGCAATGACTTGAGTGCAGTTTGTGATTTCGTTTCCATACGTCATATTTCGAAGCACTGTCGATAGCTTGTTGTGAGAGTGTATCTGAGATCTTTGGGGTGTATTTGTAGTGTCAACATATATTTGTGTATGTTTTATGCTAGATAGGTGCATGCTCATAGAGAGTACAACTCCATACGACTAAACCACCCTGTATCACTCACTCTAGTTTATTGCGTTATTTTCATATGGTATTGTCAGAAACTAAACCACTAACCACTGAGTTAAAATGGCTTGTTAATAGGGGGTCAGTGCGCCCATAGCCCCCCAGGCTCTGCACCTATGGCTCTTCCCCGAGGATCTTCTCAAGGGTAACCCCAGCGGGTCTCTCAACACCCCTCCTCGCGCGGATAGATGGAAGACACGAGCGCCTCTGCAACTCTAGCACTGGGAATTGAACCCGAGTCACCATTACTGTGATACCATGCCAGAAACTCAGCCACTAACCACTAAGTTAAAAGGGCTTGTTAATAGTGGGTCAGTGCGCCCATAGCCCCCAGGCTCTGCACCTGTGGCCCTTCCTTGAGGATCTTCTCAAGGGTAACCCCAGCGGGTCACTCAACACTCCCCCTCGCTGGGATAGATGGAAGACACGAGCGCCTCTGCAATGCTAGCACTAGGAATTGAACCCGAGTCACCAATACTCTGATACCATGTTAGAAACTCAGCCACTAACCACTGAGTTAAAAGGGCTTGCTAATAGTGGGTTAGTGTGCCCATAGCCTCCCAGGCTCTGCACCTGTGGCCCTTCCCCGAGGATCTTCTCAAGGGTAACCCCAACGGGTCACTCAACAGGTATCACGCTAGGTTAGGTCCCCCTCCCTGCTTACGCTTACGCCCCTAGCCCTAGCCCTAGCCCTTGCTCGTGTCCTAGTCGTGTCCTAGCCGTGCCCTAGCCCTAGCCGCGCCCACGCCCTAGCTTTGTCCGCGGCGGCCTCGTCACTTCGCGCCGGCCGCGTTACTTCTTGCCGGCCCCGCTAGTTCGCGCCAGCCTCGTTAGTGTTGAATAAGCTAGGATAGGATAGGTAGAGAAGCCATAGGAATAGCGTGAGGTTTTAGGCTAGGAGAGAATGTGTCGAGAAGAAAGAGAGTTTGGATTAGAAGAGAGAGGGATACAAGAAGGGGGATTGTACCCTCTACAGTAGGATCCAGTAACACCTACCAAGCCTACAATGATATATGTACAATATATAATTTAACACACCCCCTAGGCTTGGTAGTGGCAAGCCCATCCCACCAGCAGAACCCCCACATCTTTGCACCCCCATTCCCTGCAGCTGCAGTGGCGTCGACCAGCCGGTCGACCCTTCGGCAATCGATGTGGCGATGTCGATGGCGGGTCGCAGCGGCGGCGGCGGCGACGGCAGGGCGTGCAGCACTTGCGGCGGCGGCGGCGGCGTCGAGGTACCTGGCGACGGTGGCTGCGGCACCCGAGGCAATGGTGGCGTGGCTCAACCTACGACGACAAGGGGGAGGACGGCACGAGGTCGCCAGCAGCTGCGGCAGAGAGGAAGGGAAAGGCAGATGAGGGGAAGGGGCAAGGGGTGGGGGGCGGATCATCAGCGTGGTGCCATGGCTGGCTCGGCGCTTACTGGCGTGCGGGCGGGCCGGATGCTGCTAACACAGTGCGCGACCCGCTGCCCTCGTGCGCTGGTGCATCGACGCCGCCGCGACAGCACGACGACGCCACCATGGCTAGACGTTGACGCCACGACATCGCAACGAGGCTGCCACGTTAGCAGCGTCGAGACCGCCACGGCAGTACGACGCGGCCGACGGCACGACGACGTCACCACAGCAGCACGACGCGGCTGCCATGGCAGCATGAGAGAGGGAGGAGGAGTGCGCGGCGGAAGCGAGAGAAGAAGGTCGAGGAGGTTGAACCTGCTCTGTTACCATGTCAAGCATAGCTACGTAGGAAGCGTAGCCATAGAAATGGCTTGAGATTTTAGGCTAGGAGAGAATGTGTCGAGAGAGAAGAGAGTTTGGACTAGAAAAGAGAGAGGGATACAAGAAGGGGGGTTGTACCCTCTACAGTAGGATCGAGTAACACCTACCAAGCCTACAATAATATATATATATAATATATAATTTAACAGCTAGTTTGCGCCGACCCCGCTAGTTCGCGCCGGCCCCCTCACTTCGCGCTGGCCCTGTCAGTTCGCGCCGGCCCCGCCGCTCCGCGCTGGCCCCGTCTGTTCGCGCCGGCCCCGCTAGTTCGCGCCGGCCCCGTCACTTCGCGTTGGCCCCACAAGTTCGCCCTGGCCCCGTCAGTTCATGCCGGCCCCGCTAGTTTGCACCGGCCCGATCCGTTCGCGCTGGCCCTGCTAGTTAACGACGGCCCCGTCACTTCGCGTTGGGCCCGTCAGTTCGCGCCGGCCCCGCTAGTTTGCGCCGGCCCGGCTAGTTCGCACCGGCCTCGTCGCTGCGCGCTTGCCCCGTCATTTCGCGTCGGCCCCGCTAGTTCGCGCCGGCCCCGCTAGTTTGCGCCGGCCCCGTCGCTGCGCGCTTGCCCCGTCAGTTCGTGCCGGCCCCGCTAGTTCGTGCCGGCCTCGTACCTTCGCGCCGGCCCCAATAGTCCGCGCTGGCCCCGCTAGTCCACGCTGGCCCCGCTAGTCCGTGTTGGGCCTGCTAGCCCGCGCCGGCCCCACCACCAGGGTCCTCCCTAGGCTTTTTCCACTTTCTGATGATCAAACAGGCCCTTCGGGCCCATCTGATCATAAGATGTGTGGTTTTTATTTCCTGATTTCCCAGACGAAATGAATACCGATTTCTGAAATTTTAGATGAAACCTTGTATGATTTCTGATCGTCACAGTCCAGTTTAACTGCGGTTAAGTTACGTGCGATAGGGGAAAACAAACATTTCCGAGTTCAATTTCTGAATGTCGGAGGGTCATTAGGTGGATGGGGCGCGTTAGAACGAAACGTGTGGACTCAAATTTTGATTGGCAAGAAAAACACGAATTTGCTCATGCTGGGAGAAATCAGGACACGGGCGGACCGAGGTTGGGGAAGAATCGAGAGATTTCAGGGGCGGGAAAACCGAGATTGCAGGGGCGGGGGGAATCAAGCTGGGGGTGGTGGGGAGATTCCACATAGCAGGGGCGGGGAAGGGGAATCCTGCCCTCCGAAAGATCCGTGCTAGTACAAGTTGTGGGGGAGTGGGGGTGGGGTAGGGTGGTGGGGGGGGGGGGTTTGTGGTTACGAGGAAGACCTCGCACAGCCAACAGCACATCCCTTGATTTGATTTGCCCTACATGAAGGGCCAATCAGCGCCCTCACACACCCTCCAGCACACATGGCACGGGAATTTGGTGAAGGGCCAATCAGCTCAGTCACTCGCCCTCCAGCACACAACACACATGGCATGGGAATTTGGTGAAGGGCCAATCATCCCAGTCACTCGCCCTCCAGCGCACATGGCACGGTAATTTGGTCAGAGGCCAATCAGGCCCCTCACACAACCTAGAACATGAAGCAAGCAGGAATTTTGGTGAAGGGCGAATTAGCCCCTCACACAGCCTAGATGGGGGCCGTATACAGCAACCGGTCTTAGACAAGCAGAATCGCAAAGTCTGAAACGTCAGAAGAACAAGTACATAGATCCTGGAAAATCAGAAGAACTAAAATTCAATTTCTAAGGCATCCAAATTTATAATTTTGGACGTCTGAAAAATCAGAAGGATCTGAAAAATCGAGTCTGAAAATAAGACAAACTGACGGATTTTGTCTGCTAAGGAGGACCCTGCCCGCCACTTCGCGCCGGCCCTGCTGTTTCGCACCGGCCATGTCCCTCCGCGCCGGCCCCGCTAGTTTGCACCGGCCCTTGTTCGAGCTGGCCCCAGTTCGCGCCGGCCCCTGTTCCAGCTATGCAGCGGTGCCGCCGTGCTGCCGTGCCGCTATATCGCCGTGTCGCTGTGCCGCCGTGTCGCCGTGCCGACGTGGCGCCGTGCCACCGTGTCGCCGTGCCACCAGGCCGTTGTGCCGCGGTGCCGTTGTCAGCTGATGCGGCCATAGTGATGGCGGACGATGTGCTCTGCCTGGACGTAGAGGGTAGGGCGATCGACATTGAGGCGTGGCTCATCGACCTCCGCTGTCAGCTTATAGGTCAGCGCCAGGACGGCTACTCCCT